CAAATAAATGCATTTCTGCCCATGTTGCTCTTAGCCATGGTGTCTCATGCAACAACAGAAAACCTAACTAGTCAGGAACTTTTAGGATGAACTATACAAAGGTGCTGTTTTTAAAAAGTTCATCTTGGCCTGACCTCCTGTCTTGGGCACAGAAGCTGGGAAACTGAGCATCATGTGGATGTATGGCACCCTAGCTTCAGGCATAGGCTTATAGAGCTGTGGTGGGTGGGAACCCTCACTGCCTGTTAAGACTAATGTCCTCCCGCCACCACTGAACAATAGTTGGCTTAACAATTGTGTTGGCCCGTGTGTGGGCAGGGATGGCAGGTGCTCTATGTGCACTGGCTTATGTGTGCACCAGCTGCAGTAGCTGGTACAAGCGCAGGCGCTCATTAAACATCTGTTGAATGATGGACAGCAGAGCCACCCAGGGGAACCTGTTAAATCTGGGTCCACTTCAGATCTGCTGAATCGAAACCTCTGGTGACAGAGCCCAGGTGACTGCCATGTCCTCAAGAGTCTGGGAAGCACAGCTGCAGTGTCTGAATAGATCTTTCTCCTATTATCAGAAGAAGAAATGCTGATGTTTTCACTTTGAGCATTTGTGGGTAGAGACTAAAAACTATTCAAATCCAGTCGCATAGGTTCCTTTTACTCAGGCCATATCCGAGGAGCCTGGAGTGCTCTTGGCTTTGGGCTGGGTTGGATATGCACCACACCCACTTTCGCTACTTTCAAGGGAGGCAAGGCCAATAAAGAGGCAGAGGAGGTAGAAGCTGGGCTGCATGAAGTCCAACTCTGACAGTATTATTGCCCTTCCCTTGAAAATCATAAACTAAGAAGTGTGCCACCGTTCTGGCTTCCTCCAGGGGGCCAGCTGCTGGGAGCTACTTCTTATTCCCTTCTTGGGGATGTGTCTTGGACCTGGTACATACCTAGCCTTGGTCTCAGCTGGACCTCTAGCTAATTGGTGTGGAGTTAACCAGACCACTCATTCCCTTTTGCAATGAATCCTGGGGATTTAGCCTAGGACCTCCTGTGTACTGGGCAAATGTTCCACCCCTGAGCTAGAGCCCCGGTGTTAACCCCTTTTAAGCTTTCATTTCCCCAAGGGTAAATTCATCCTATTGAAGGCTGTGGGAAGGATTAGAGATGACATAGCTCAGATGCATGGAAAAGCTGGTAGGTTTGGCCTGAGAATGAGAAGCTAACAGTACATTTGGGTCAGAGACCACACAGTTTCAACCAGCAACTTTTTCATTAGCCAGGCAGAAGCCCAGCAAACAGCAGGAAATGATCTGCCACCGTGGGTATCTTGAGGACTTTTCTTGTCTTCTCTTTTGAGAGGAGGTCTCTCTATGTAACCTTGGGTGGCCTAAGACTTCCTTTGCTGCCCTGCCTAGGCCTCCTGAGTTCCCTGGGGTTACAGGTATGAATTATCACACAATGTACTTGATGGCTTTCTCAAGGAAGAACTCCCCACTCCTGCAAGGAGGCAGGAGGGTCATGGGTGGAGACTGTGAGTGTCTCCAAGGACAAAAAACTCCTGAAAAGCAAGCTGAGCGTCTTAGGTGAAGATTCACCCTAATGTCTTGGCAGCTCCAACCTAATCAGAGGATGCATAGACAGTGATAAAGTCCTCAGTGCTGGGCAATGGGTAGTATTTCTAACAATGCCAGAGTTTTAAAAGCAAAGTATCTGACAAATGGGGAACCAGCATAGAGACCAAACTAGACTCCCTTAATATAGGTGACAGTGGTGTGACTGAGACAATATATGAGGCCACTGGCAGTGTGTCCAAGATCTAACACTAACTCACAAACTGACTTAGTGGAGGCCGTTCTACATGGAGAGATACCTTGTCCAGCCTAGACACAGGGGTGTGTGGGGTGGGGCAGTGCCTTGCCCCTCCCTCAGTGAGATGATGGAACACACTTAGTAGACTTTCTAGGGGAGGCCTTACCCTCTCTGAGGAGCAGATGGGAGGTAGGGGGGAGTGGGGGTTGTGGGAAGAGAGGAGGAAGGAGCAACTGGGATTGGAATGTAAAAAATAAATTAATAAAAAATTAATAAAAAACCCACAACAAATTAAAAAAATGAGTCTTTAGCAAGGCACTGAGAGGTACAGTCACTCTGCACGGCCATGGCCAGGGACGGCTGGCTGGGGAGGAGACCCAGTCTATTTCTTGGGCTATAAAAGGCACAACACCAAAGGGCCAGACTAATTGGGGACAGTTCTGGAAACCATTTCACAGGACTCCTATTGGTCCAGCAGCAGCCCTAGGTGTACTCAAGTCCTCAGTGATAATGAGGATGATAAAGAAGGTGATGGGCGCCGGGCGTTGGTGGCGCACGCCTTTAATCCCAGCACTCGGGAGGCAGAGGCAGGCGGATCTCTGTGAGTTCGAGACCAGCCTGGACTACCGAGCGAGTTCCAGGACAGCCTCCAAAGCCACAGAGAACCCTGTCTCAAAAACCAAAAAAAAAAAAAAAAAAAAAAAAAAAAAAGAAGGTGATGGGCACTTCTTGTCTGCTGGACCAGGGCCAAGCAATTTATTTTACACACATTGTTTCCCTTGACACTTACAAGGGCCTACATGGAATTGCACCATTGCTATTCCCCATTTTGTAGATGAGGAAACTGAGGCTCAGAGAGGTGACTCTTGTTTTTTGTTGTTGTTTTGATTTTGTAAGACAGGGCCTCATGTAGCCCAGGCTGGCCTTAAACTTGCTATGGAGTCAAAGGTGATCTGTTGTAGGGCCTCATGTAGCCCAGGCTGGTCTCAAACTTGCTACTGTAGCCAAAGGCTAAAATCAGATAAAGATACAATTTTAATTTTTGCTTTATATGTGTGGGTATTTTCCCTTCATGTATGTTTGTGCACCATGTGTGATCTTTCTGTTTTTATCTCCCCAGTACTGGGATTATAATTTATGCTACAATACCCAGTTTTACTTGGTTTTTTTTGTTTGTTTGTTTGTTTTTCGAGACAGGGTTTCTCTGTATTGTTTTGGAGGCTGTCCTGGAATTCGTTCTGTAGACCAGGCTGGCCTCGAACTCACAGAGATCCACCTGTCTCTGCCTCCCAAGTGCTGGGATCAAAGGCGTGCACCACCAACGCCCGGCTTTTACTTGGTTTTATGGAACCTGGAACTTCATGCATGATAGGCAAATCATTGTATCAAGTGAATTGTGTTCCCAGCCCTTGTTTCCTTTTTTAAGGCAGCATCTCATGTAGTCCAGTCTGTCCTATAATTCCTTATATAGCCAAGGATGACTTTGAACTCCTGACCCTGCTGTCTCCACTTCCCGAGGGTTAGATCACAGGCCTGCACCGTCATGCTTGCCTCTCCCTTTTACTTTTAGGTAACAGCGGCACATAGTTAGTTGGCACCAGGATTCAGACCTGAATGGAGTACGGAGTCTGTTCAAGTGTTGGAGGCAGGGTAAGTCATGCTGGCCAGTGCCTGTAAGGGTATTTTCTCCCAGCCAGCTTGGTACTCCCCCTGAGGTCAGGCTCTGTGCCAAGCACTTTACATACTTTATCTCTTGGTGTCTTCGTAACATCACTGTGAGTAAGTGATTTTACTATCCCCGTTTGTATAGATGACAGAACAGCCAAGGCCTAAGATCAGATGACTTCCTGGGGTTCAAAACCAGGCAGCGACACTGACTGAGATGCCCAGTACTGGAACAAGAGGCAGCATGGGCTGGACCTGAACTCAGGACTCCTCTGAGGCTTGCCTGTATGTTCTCTGTTGGCAGCATTGTTCCTTAAAAGCGTGCTGGCCTTAAGCCCAAAGAGTGAAATCACACCCTGCGGTTCTGGGAACCTCAGACTGGAGGAAGAAGGAAGCTGTTGCTGCGTGGCTCGTCTGAGCAGGTGTGCCAGGCTCTTTCCTTCTCTTGCTGGAAGGAGCCTTCTGGCCTGGCAGGGTGGGGCGACACTTGTCAGTACCCTGTGGGAGCAGGACGGCAGGCAGGTGTGCCCAATAAACAGGTCTGAGTCTTCCTGCTTTCCAGCCTTCATTCAGCCCCAGCAGGCCCCCCTCCCTCACGCACACACCTAGATGCCTGCTTGGCAAGCGGCGAAGCAATGAGAGTTCAAGGTTGAAGCCAGAAGGTTTGCTTCCTGGCTCTGGTTCAGGACTCTTTTGGTGTGCAGTCCTGACCTACAGTTCCCTCATTCGTATAGAGCGTGTGGTGGTGATGGCCCTGGGGTGGGGAGGCAAAACCCTCTAGCCTTTTCAATTAACACGTTATTTATTAAATACCTCTGGTGAGCCGGAGTAATAACCAAAGTGGGATTTAAGCCTGGTTTCGTGTGTCTTAGACTCTAGCATGGACAGATTGACAGAAGAAGCCAAGGTACAAGGGCTGCTGAGACACCTCCAGGGGAAAGGGTCGCATAGGATTTGGTTGGAAAGCCACAAATGGGATGGTGCTTACAAGGGTGATGGATAAGGATGCCCTAAAGAAGGTTCGTACTAAGAAAAGGGAAAAGGCCAATAGTCCTGGGGGGCTGGCAGAAGCCTAGCCAGTTCAAGACACTGTGGGCTGTGGTAAATGACATAATTGAAATTTTTTTCAAGGGAGGTTATTGTGTAGCGCTGGGGAGGTGAGATGGTTAGGCTTATCAGGAAATGGGTAAAAAACATGCCTCAAAGAAAACATACGAATGCCACCCTCTCCGAGAAGCCTTCTTTGATTTCTCAGCCTTTGACCTGTGCCTGCCTTCCTCCCTCTCTGGCCTTGCACTCTGGATAGAGAACTTAGGCCTCCGATGCTTTCTCTTTTGCTGCTGAAGCACACTGCGGCTTCAAACGCGGTTCTAAACCTCCCGGAGCCTCAGTTTCCCCAGCCGTGTAGAAGCAGGTTGTCAGGCAAGGGCCCGCCCAGCGCTAACGCAACGTGATTCGCTCTAGCAGTAAGGAGGGGGTGCCCGCATTGCTGCGCAGACACCGGGCTGCTGGCCCGGGCACAGCCACCTGGCTGCCGGCGCGGTTTTTTCCTGCGGGGGGCTCCGAGACCTGGTCGCCGCGACAGACTCAGAGCAGGGAAAGTGGGGGTGCGACCCCAGGCTCGCACGGCCCCGCCCCCGCAGCCAGCCGGCCTGCCGCAGCCGGGGGCCCGAGCTCCGCCCTCCACCCGCCCGCCAGGCTGCCTCCTCCCTCCTCCTCGCTCGCTCCCTCCCCCGGGCGGGCTCGGCGCTGACTCCGCCGCACGCTGCAGCCGCGGCTGGAAGATGGCGGGGAACGACTGCAGCGCGCTGCTGGATGAAGAGCTCTCGTCCTTCTTCCTCAACTATCTCTCTGACACGCAGGTACAGCCAGCTGGGAGCGCAGGCCAGGCACCAGGTTGCAGAGCCGCAGGGCTGCAGCCGCAGCTGCAGAGGCAGGAGCGCAGCGGTGGGCGCACCGGGGTGATCGGGGGGGTTCAGGCTGCAGAGCCCCCCTTCCACGTGCCTTGCGCTGCGCTCCGTTACAGGCATAGCGAGCTGCAGGTCGCCGGCGCATGCTGTAGCATTGGGAGACACAGCCATCCGGGAGGGTCTGGTCGGGGCTAACTGGAGTCTCCGGTTCCCCCACCGGCAAAGTTGAGGGGTACTGCGATTCCTTGAACAGCTAGAGTCTACCCAGGGTCGTAAGGACCCCTAAGGCTGCCTGTGGGTGCTATAGGCGCGTCCTCGGCGCCGAGCACTTGCTGCCGTACTTTCACGTGCACTTGTGGCGGGGGTATGGGAAGCTGTCCGCAGCCCTGGAGTCGCCTTGTTCTCCAGCATCGGGTACCCCAAGTACTGCCACTGGTTTTCCCGCAGTCCCCCACCTGCTCCCGCAGCGCAGAGTTTCCTGTCAGTTGCTGGCTAAGGGAATTAGGGGTCTGCGGGGCACGTGGACATGCGGGCGGAGATAGTGTCTATCAGCTTTCGCTATCCGGAGGAGACCCTTTAGGAAAGAGCAAGGCTGGATCGGGGCGGAAGGACCATCTGGGGGTTGCCTGGGTCCCCCTGCGGCGCGCGGCCCCGGCGCGCGCTCCACGATGCAGGGGGAAGGGAAGGTGAGGCGGCGTCCCGGGCTCTGGCTGAGCCTGGGAGCTTCACCGGCTTCACGCGCGTGACAGGAGTGTGCTTTGGTGTTCGGGAGGGAGGGCGAGAGAACCGCTGGCTTGGAGATCAAAATGGGGTTTGCTGCTGGGACAGACAGTTGCGGGAAAATGTGTGCACGCGGCGTGCGCGCCCCCACCTCCGCCGTTTTCCCCCGGCCCATGCCTGTTGCAAGCTTGAAGTTTGGCTCCTGAGTTAGGGCTTTTGCTCCCGGCTCCAGGCTGCTTGTCTCCAAGAGGCTGGGGATGCGGCGGAGCCTGGGAGGAGACCCCGGATGCGGGGATACGTCTGGGTACAGAGCTGGGCTATCGGACGGAAACCCGCGGGACTCGCGGGGACAGACTGAGTACCTGGAGTGGAAGCGTTTGTGCCGGCCCGCTTTGCATAACACTAGGAGGGAGGGGAAGGCGGAGGAGGGGGGGCGGGAGGTGGGAGGAGAGAGGGAAACTTTGCTTCTGGTTAGAATCTACCAGTCTTTGGGCGGTAGCAGCTGTCATGGGACCGGGTGGGCGGGGAGAGGCTTGCAAGCTGATTCCTTGCGGTGAGACGCGACTCGGTGGGGACGCAGCGGCTGAGACGTTCGGCTCCGGGAAGACTCCCGGTGGCGACTTAAGGCTGGCGACTAGAACAGGCGGCGTGGCGAGGTGTCGCCTAGAGGAAGCCCGCCACGCGCGGGAGACGGCGGGCCGTAGCCCTCTGCAAACGCGGCGGCGTCCCGGAGATGCCGGGCCGCGTGGTGTGTGGCTGGCGCGCTCGGGTGGGTTCGCAGCAGAGGCCCAAGGGGACGGTGGCGAGTGATCGCTTTCCTTCAGGTCGGGAGGGGATGCTAATGAGTCGGCTGTGCGCGGGTGTGAGTGTGTGTGTGTGTGTGTGTGTGTGTGTGTGTCCCCTGCGCGTGTGCACACGCCGCGCGCGCCGGGCGCGTACCTTTACCTCTGACGAAACTGCGGTGGAGCTCCCGGCAACGTCGCCGGGCTCGGTCACACGCCCGGTGTTTGTGTCTGCGAAGTCGGGCCCTAGCCTCAGCACCCCAGGAGTGGATAGCCTGGGACCAGGACTGGAGGTGGTGGGGGTTTGGTGGACCCGGAGAAGACCTGCACCCCAGATCTCTATTGCCTGGAGTCGTCCCCATCTCTACACTTAAGAACCTAGCAGAAATAGCCGAAATAGCCAGTGAGACTCCTTCACCCATAACAAGATTGTCCGCTCTGGACATGACCCTGGCCTTCAACTCTAGCTTTGGTGTTTGGCTCACCACTAATTAATTGTTTGCCCTTTTAGCCGCCAGCCTAGCTTAGTTAGTAGGGCTGCTTCACCAAGGAAAGTAGAAAAAAAAAATGAGTAATCAGGTGTCAGCAGAAGCAGCGCAGTGAAAGTTAATTTGGGACGTTTGCCCCCCCCTAACCACGTGACAGGCCGAAGATCTCCCGGTGATCTTTGCCGGGCCAACTTGGGAAATGTAATTGATACCGGGAGCTTTGCAGCCACCCCTAGAAGGTTCAGAGCTGAGCGGGAATGGGCGGGGCAGCCCGCCGCCTCATTTTACAGTTGGGGAAGAGGCTGTGAGGGGTGAGCTGCTTGTCCACGACCACTCAGCCAGGGGGTGACAGAGCCACCCAGGGCTCCTGACTCCAGGTCCTGTGTGTTACCTCGAAATAGCACTGGACTTGGAGTCAGAAGGCCTGAGTGGAGTCACCTTCCCCGCTCTCTGGCTGGGTGATCCTGGAGCAAGCCATTTTGACTCTCCAGCCGGGTTTCTCCATCTGTCCAATGGGGCCGGCGGTGCTGCCGGAGAAGCCAGAGGCCTGCTGGTGGGGGTGAGCCTTGTTTGCATGTGAGATGTCTGGTTGTCCCTCCCTGCTGCTGCTTCCCCACAGCCCTTCCCGGACCCTCCCCTCCCCTCAGCTCTCCCCTTGGGAGGGTTGGGGAAAGTGGATCGTCTTTGTCCCCAAAAGATTTCTTGTTGTCTTTGGTGGCTAACCCAGGCATAGATTAAAGAGAATTTGCGTTTCAGGGACTTTTATCCATTGTTGCTGAAGTAGCCGATTATCAGAACCAGAATTGTGGCAACCTCTTGGAAATGTTTGAAGAGTGTGTCCCAAAGACCTCTGTGCTGGTTTCAACTTTGCTTACACGGTTCCCCTAGCCTGGTGTGCCCTCACCCACCATCCCGCATGGCTTTCTCCCTTAGTAGGCCTTCCTGCCAGTTTGCCCTGCTCTCTCTGCTGTCTTTCATAGTTATAAAACCAAGCACTATGTGTTTGAGTCTATCCAGTAGGATTTAAGTTGTGCCTTTTTATCTCTTTGTGCCCACATGGCACCTGCCAGCATGCTGAGCAATGTTCCTTTGCCCAGTTCTTGATGAGGTCCATGGATTACAAAGGGGTACAGTTGAGCCTTGCCAAACAGAAGCTCCCGGGCTGACAGGGGAGACAGCTGGGCGGTGAATATGGGAGAGAGGAATGTACAGGGTTACAGCTGCTAGCAAAAGCCTGGACTCCAAAAGCCACATGGAAAGCTCGGTAAATAAAGGGGCCATTTGAAATCACTTGAGTGCTTGGAGTGACAGTCATAGTGTTAGAGATGACAAGGGCATTATCAATCATCTAGTCCAACCCTTACTGAAAAATTTTAAAATTTCAACATTGTTAGAAAACATCGCCAAGCATCATAGAAAAGGAGACATATCTAATGTTTCAAAACTGTTTAATTTTGTGTGTATGTGTGTGTGTTTGCATGTGTGTGCTCTGGTATGTGTGTGGAGGTCAGAGGACAACTTGCAGAAGTTCCCTGCCACCAAGTGGGACATGGAAATTGAATTCAGGTCATCAACTTTTACCTGCTGAGCCGTCTCGCCAGCCCAGAAATATGTAATGCTATCCAAAGAGAGCTACTCTAAAGTTATATGTATCTCAAGATGTTTTTCTTTCTTATCTATATAGATTACTTCTTTGGGAAAAAAGAAAACAACAAATGGAATTATTCTGATACACTAATTTGTAAATTGGAAGCACACTGTTTTGTAACTTGTCTTTTTTCTTTTCCTCATAATATGCTGTGAACATCTTTGCTCATCAATAAATACCGTGCTTAATATCTTAATGGTTGTATAGTATTTCATGGAGGGTTGAGCCAACATGCACCAATCAGTCCTTCAGTTGTTTGCATTTATGCTATTGTAAGCAATGCTGACACGAATATCTTTGTGTACATGTATTCTTTCCTTCATTTAAATTCCTAGAAGTAAAATTGCTCTATCAAAGGAACCATGCAGGCATTTGGTAAACACATATTTAAATTATCTTCTAGAGAGATTGTATTGGTTTACACACTCATTGGCATTGTGTGGGAATGTGACTGACCATTCCCTAGTTATTCATACTATTTTCATTTTTACCAGTTCAGTCAATAATACACTCTGTTACTGTTGCTGTTCAGTGTGCATTTCTTTGGTAACATGTGCTGTTCAGCTGCTCCCTACTTGCAAGGCTTCAGGGACTTGACCTGACTAGGGCAGTGAGGGAGTAAAGGAGAGACAGACACAGGGAGACACAGAAATAACTGGGGTAGGGGTGGACTGGGCTCTGATGGAGAAACCCTCAGATGCTCGGAGTATTTACTGTGTACATGTGAACGCAGAGGTGGGGCTATTGCATACAGATAAACGAGGAGGCAGGGTTTAGCTACTGCTGGATCACCAGTTAAGTTTAGCTAACTTAGGTAGGAGCTGTCTCCGTAGGGGAACAGTCTTCAGACTAAATATCCAGGGGAAGAAAACTACGGGGAACATTTTCTGCATTTACTGCTGACAGTCACACTTGGAGCCCCAGAAGACTTTTGCTATGTCTCTCTCTGAGCCTCACTTTGGTGGCGAGGGTGGGTTAGACTCTTTGCCAGTTTACTATGGGTCTGAAGCCATGCCCATGCCAATAGTGTCCATTCACTCAGGGCTCTCCGCCTCCTATACCCAATCCCTTCCCATAGAGAGCCAATTACAGCTGGTTGCATACATGGCACCATGGTTGTGAACTTGTCCCATTTTACAGTTGGATCTTTGTGACCTCGTTAAGCTGGGACTGAGCACACAGAAAGGGGTCCTGGGCACATGGAGAACTGGAGAGAGGACTTGGAGTCCTCCTGCCCCTTCATAGGTCTGGGACACTGCCGCCTCCGTTGACCTTGAAGCCAGGGCCAGCTGCTGTCCTAGTCAGAATTGCAGC